CACTGTGACTGGTCATCCACTCCACTCCACTAGTGGCCAAATGAAAAGGGGCCAGCAGTGCCAATAGTAGAAAGCATTCTTCCTCAGAATCTGCTCTGAGTAATGAGAGTAATGAGGGATCTTATTCTACAATTGCATTTTGCCACATATCACCTTCGGCTTACTATTTCTCAGAAGGAACGGAAGCAACACCAGTAGCTTCTCTTGCAGTGAGCAAAGGTGCTTAGCTTTGTTTTCCGAGTCTGGTTGAATTTTCCCATTCGTATCTCCTCTTTCTGGAGCTATATGGCTTAAATGCTAAGGACAGCATCAACCTTGCCAGAAAAGTTGATAGAGCCAGAAAAATATTTGGCCTCTTTGCTGGGTGAAAATAATACTCCTTCAACAATATCTCCTGAGCTCCAAGCATGCACAGGAACTCACTGCTCCAGGTTTTAAGGCTACAATGGGGAACCAAATATAGTCCCTGCTGACACAGGGCTTCCATTCTAGTGTGGGTGGGCCTTCCTTCTCCTGGCAAGTTTCCACCGACTCCTTGATAAACTCTTTGATAAATTCAGGAAGGGGCTGGGTTTAAAACAAACAAAAAGTTTGGAGAACGGGTTTCAGAATGTGGTCATGGAGAATTATTCCAGGCCCCAAGATCATTTTGGGCACCAGGCATAAAGGCCAACCTTTGCTTTCCTAAACAAGTGATAAAGAAGAAGGGACAAGAACTGAGAGCTACCCCGTCAAAGGCTTGCGTCTCCTAACACAGTAGGGCCAGAAACACCATGGTGCAGGGGCCCTCATCTGGTTCTCCTAGTGTTTAGGGCACAGAGACCTAAAGCTAGGAGAAGGTGCTCACTCTGTGCTCAGGAAAACCAGTCACTTGAAGTCTGCCCTGACAGAAATACACCTGGCAGCTGCTTCTCCCCCTTAGACGTGTACAAGTACCTTTATCACCAGCATATCTCCATTATTTGCAACCTAATTGTTCCTTTCCCTGACTTCTTTCACTGCTCACTTAGCTCTGACGTGAATAAACCAGCCACATTCTCATATACGTGATGCCTTGCCTTCATCTCTGCCACTGGACGAATACCCTGGGGATTCGTGTGCCTGTTTCTATTACTTCTTTACTCTGCACCCCCACCCCCGAAGGAACAACAAAGGCAAGATGTCTACACAGGTTCCTCAGCAAATGCCTTCTGAGGGAGCAAAGGAGGCTACTTCCACCTGCCTCTTGACTTCATTCATGACTTGGGGGCATTTCTTGTTTCCCATCTGCCTGGGAGCTACTCTTCCCTCCTTAACTTCCACTCTCACTTCCCTGCAGGGATCCTGGCAGAGCAGTTTGTTCCGGATGGGCCCCACCTCCACCTGTACCATGAGAACCAGTGGGTGAAGTTGATGAACTGGCAGCACAGCACCATGTATCTGTTCTTTGCAGTCTCGGGAATCGTGGACATGCTCACCTATCTTGTCACTCACGTTCCCCTGGGGGTGGACAGACTGGTTATGGCTATCGCAGCATTCACTGAAGGTAACTTACGGGTATGGAATGGACCAGGATACAAAGACCAGAAATACTTCAAATATAATAACTTTCCCCAGAAAATCCAAATCTCTGAATTTCAAACACCTGAATAGGACTTGGTCCTGTGCTCTAGAGGATACAAGTGACCTATTCCATAAAACAGCACATGAAAACGTGAGGCTCTTAGCCAGTCTCTGGCTCTCAGCACACACTCTCCCTCCTCACCGTCTCCGCCCCCCCCCCATCACACTCCTGTGCCTGAGTGCACCTGCACACTAAAACACACAAGAACTCTCCAAAACCTGGTTGGATGCCACCATGCCAGAGAACTCCCTCTGTTGGGAAAAGAAACACTGCACTCCACCCTGAACCCAGGAGCATTCTTACCTGGACTCCATCACAAACCTCAGGAGACCCACCCAGCAGGTAGGACAGATCTCCCAGTATAACTCATATTAACCAAAGTAATGAGAAGGCGCTTTGTAATCCAACCACCTCACTTCTGTACCTCAGGAAGAGACAAAGGTTGAATCAGGGCAAAATTGAATTTCAAGTACACACACAATTTGTCACCAATCAGCAACGTGTTTCTCCTACACATCCTGTATTGAAGTTACCACGGATTAAAAGATTTTAAAAGACACATCCTCTGCAGTTATATCCACTTCACACACAAAATTAAATCTAACCTGCGTCTGTTGCCCTGTAATATCATATAAACGGACTTTGTAACTGCTGAAAAATCTCACTTTAAGTGTAGGAGGGCATTCTAGCAGTAGAACAAGCCCTCTGAAGTAGAAACCAGCGAATCGCTGATGGCTGAAATGGCTTTGTGCAGGTTTTCTCTTCTACTACCATGTCCATAACCGGCCACCCTTGGACCAGCACGTCCACTCACTCCTGCTGTGCGCACTATTTGGAGGGACTTTCAGCATCTTCTTAGAGGTGATCCTCCGGGACAACATTGTGCTGCAACTCTTCCGAACCACTCTCGTTATTCTTCAGGGCACCTGGTTCTGGCAGGTAATTATTCAAAACTGTGGTCTTCACATTGCGTGGCTTCAAGGAGCTCCAGTGCGTTTGTCCAAGAGAAGTCATGAAGGGGCAGCACTGACATGCCATGTGACCTGGTCTCCCTGTGTCCACCCCACAACTTAATTTTGTCCATGAATACCTTGCTCACTGGTTGACAAGCAGAATCCATGGAGCATAACATAGCAAGCAGATTAAGAAATTTCCCTATCTGCCCTCCCCAGTGGAGGTACTGACCCTGTTTACAGGCTCCACATGCAGTACTTTCAGGGGTCATTTCTATAGTTTGTTACAGGCTCCACTTGCTAAACTGCTGATTTGAAATCTAGGCCCTGAAATTTCGTTTTAAATAAGCCTATGCTAAAACCAGAATTACCTTAGAGCAATTCTCCTGCGCAAAAAGGCTTCTCTATGCTAATGGAGGTATGAGAAATAGGAGGTAGTGGGGAATGCATGGACAACTTGGGTAGCCACAGGAAGGGCGCAAGCTTGTGTTTCTCAGAACCAACTGAGGTGGACTTCTCTGTATTCCACACCAGATCGGATTTGTGCTGTTCCCACCTTTTGGAGCACCCGAATGGGACCAGAAAGATGAAGCAAACATGATGTTCATCACCATGTGCTTTTGCTGGCACTACCTGGCTGCCCTCTGCATTGTGGCCATCAACTACTCTCTCGTTTACTGGTAAGTCCAAGGGAACACATCTTTGTCAAGCTTTTTTCTCCTAACAACCCTTTGTCCCCAGAATCTACTGCACTGCATTTTATTCCCAGTGGCCCACCTTTCATAACAAAGCAGTGCTAACTTCTACCACTTCATGAGTGCAAAATATATGCCAAGTTCTGCACAAGGTACTCCACCCCTGCAAAGGAGAAGGAGAAGATACTGAAAGGCTGAAGGATTGTCTGGTTGTAGTAATCTGACAGACCCAGGTTTCAAAGGCGGTTCTGACAGACTGGAAGGCTGTCGTGTGAAAGGAAAAACTGAATTAGGCATCAGTACTGGACTGCAGATCCTGCTCTGTCCATTGTCTTGAGCCCATCACCTTGTCCTGGATCAGTCCCACCTCCTCCCCAGATGTGTGACAATCAGACACAATGTCAAAACAGCAAGTACCCTTTTGAGGGCTCTTCAGAGGTTACTGGAATAGCTGATCATTCCTGTGCACTCATTGTCCCAGGCACTGTGGGAAGCACTTCAAGTCTATTACCACACTGAATCCTCATTATTTTATGAAGTATACACTATAACGTTTTACAGATGGGGAAACCAAGGCTCGAAAGACTAAGTAACTTGATCGAGGTCACCCTATGAGTCAATAGCAGACACTGTCTTGAACTGCAGAGCGAGTGACTTTTAGGATATGCTATTATTGAGTCTGTCATTTGTAGCTGCCCCTCTTGTTTCTTCTAGTTTCTGATTTCCCTACCCAAAGCAGATGTACATCACACACAGAATTCCACACAGGCCAAACTGAAGAGAAGGTCACAGTTTCCTTTAGTTCTACTGCCTGGTGGGTGAAACAATACACTGGGAGGCAGGAGACCTAGGTTTAGTCTGTTGTGACATTAACCAGTAAATATTATTAATCATGAGTCCCTTTATCTACCAATGAACACCACCCGAGAAATGAGATATGCAGACAACCACAGCATTTGGTGGACTTATAAAGAAAATGCGTTAAGAACCAGTAGATGCTTTAACATCCTTGGTTGAGAGAATAAGGGAATCTGGGAGGCCTAATCTCATGTGCTCTTACTGTTGCTCTATTACAGCTATTTGACTCGGTTAAAGAGGCGCGGAGGAGAAGTCATTGGGATTCAGAAGCTGAAGTCAGATCACACGTACCAGACGGCCCTCTTGAGTGGCTCAGATGAGGAGTGAGGCGGCTACTCATCATCAGCGCGGGCTGGACATGTCCCTCTGAGCACAAACAGCTTGTGTGCACAAAGGTGTAGCTTAGCTCCTCCATTTCAATGCTTCCTTTGGTCTGCTCTTACGGTTCTACGTATTTGCACTTTCTCATTTAATTGGCTAAAGTCTGTGGTGCTGTGGTATCGTTCATAAAGAAAAATGACACAAGCCTTTACTTGTGCCTCAGTATGAAGAGAAATCAAAGACTCTGAAAGTTTCAGAACCAGAAGTGGCCAGGTGGATGAGTCTAGGATAGGAATCCAGCAGAACGTACTGCTTTTGATAACTTCTCTTTTTTTCAAATTTCAAGAAAACAGGTACTTTCTTATTAGAAAGTAAATACAGGAGACTGACTTTATTTTAAAGATACAATTCTACCACATATTTCTTAAAGTAAAATAGTTCACAAACTTTGGTACTTTAAATGTTACTAGTTAAACATTTCCTAATTAACCATTAATATTCCAGAGTACTATAATACCACTGATAAGCCATGACACTGGGCCAAAGGTGATTTTTTTTTTTTTTTTTTTTAATCAGAAAGCTAGTCAGTGGCCCAGCTGAGAGCTGGAACGCAAATGTTCTGGTTCCTCAAAAGAACCCTAATAAGAAGACGATAACAGGAAGTCTGTATAATGAGGTAGAAAAATGGGAGGTTACTGAAGGCCTTGAATTTAAATACAGCTGAAAGCAAAGGTTAGGAATCCTGCAAAAGATGTGGATCTTGAACTAGTAATATAAAGTCTTGACAGTCTAATCTTGCTTCTGGATCTGCTTTTTTCTTTTTTTTAAACTTCCTTCAACAAATATTTATTAAACATCTACTTTGCACCAGCACTGAAATGGTTGAAAGAATTAAGGAGATCCCTGTCCAGCAAGGAATTCAATCTAATGGGGAAGATACGAAAGCGATTACATACAGGGTGACTAGTGCCATAAGGGGTAAGTACAACTACAAGGGAGGGGAGCATATGGGGAGTTTGCCCTGTAGAAGAAAAAAAAAGCACATTCCAGGCATAGAGAGTAGGAAGGACAAAGGCCATGAAATCATGAAGGAACGTGGAGAGTTAGTGAAGTTCTACAAACAGATAAAGTGGCCTAGGCCAATTCTGAAAGGTCTTCCAGACAAAAGATACCAGTGGTTTGCACAGCACTTTCCACACTCTGAAATGCACAGTATCCCACCTGATACACACAACCATCTGTAACAGAAGCCATATTAGGTTCTCCAGAAAAGCTGATTAGCAGAAGGTCACACAGCTACTAAGTTGCGAAGCCAGCCTTCAGGATGCAAAAGTCAGCTTCCTTCCTGCTACTTCACACAAATGCGGAAAGAGATCTTTCACACAAAGCACTGGGTGCTTTCTGGAAGAAATGCTGTACCTAAGTGAATGCTGACCTCCCATGGTTAGCCAGCATTTCAATGCTGAAGTCACACATCAGGGGTTGAGAATGAGCTACTTGAAAATACACAGTTACGAGAAGAGAACCTGTGGTCCCCTTTCAGGGTCCACTTTCTTTGGCCTGCTGACTATGAAACCAAACACTCATTCAACAAATACTGGAGGATCTATTATGAGCAATTAATTTAAAACATATTCTTTCTTTAGAGACTGGAGATGGGGAAAAGGAACCTATTTCCAGTTTTACTTTCATAGTAAAGATCTCCATTTTAGGTTTGCAGGGTGGGGGGAGTGTACCACACTATAAGGAAACGTATTTTCTCTAGAGCGAGCACCTGAGGTGTGAAGACAGGACATACAATATTGAAACTTACTGTAATACACCCTTCACAGCAGCCGTTTGGGATACTTTCATGGAATTGACCAGCCCTGGAGAAAAACATCCTTACGTGTGGTATTACGGTACAAACTCATCACAAACAATGCTATTTATCCAATCCAGTCTTAAGACATCTAATCTGAACACTTTTACCAACCTCTGAACCTCGGGGTCAGAGGCTCAGTGGCTGCCATGAATTCTTCTGGACTTATTCCCCCCCCCAAACAGTCGCCATCTCTACCACATCTCCACAAGACCCCTGAGGTCTCCACGGAACCACGTTTGATGCAAATACTGGTGACGTCACTTGAACAACTCCAGCCGGGGCTTGCCACTCCTCAGTACTCCACTGACAGGCTGGGCAGTGCCAAATCGTACTTCCCGGGGAGGCAGTCCTACACTAGCGTCCTAAAACAGCCCTGCTCCCCTAGCATGCAGACAAATGTCTGCAGGCTCTCAGAGACAGGCACAGCCAGGTGACTTCAGTAAAAAAACGTGTGAGGCAGGGCTGGGGCTGAATGCCAGAGCTCCTTTCATGAACTCATTTGTTAAGTAAATTCAGAAGGGGTCTGTTTTAACCAATAAATACCTGAGACAGGATTCCTCAAATTTCTACCGTTTTCTCATTCAGAAACTGTCATGTGGATTCTTCACGTGAAATGTGCCTCCAGGAAGCAATGATGTGCAAATATTAAAGTACGGGAGAACACAGACGCACTCTTCTCCACTCTGCTAAAAGGCCATTTTTCTCCTTCACGGATGTCCCTTCCTCTCCCCCTTCCCAGCTGGACTTCTGTGCCAGCCTCCCACTACTAGCAAAAGCTCAGTCACCCCTCAGCCAATTCTCCTTGGCTCTCTGTATCTTGGGCTTACCGCCCTAGCTCCAACTGTCCCCACACCTCAGCATGACCCACACAGCCACCCTTCCATAGGAAGGCAGCAGAAAGGATACTTAAACTCAGAAGACTGGATTTACATCCTGGTTCCCTTTAACCTCAACTCAGACTTACCACTTCTCCCAGGGATGAGAAGTTAGAAGACGGTTGATGATGTCTATTTACACAACTGTTTTAAGAATCAAATGCGGTATCTCAAAAGCCACAAGCCACCCTGACCTCCTCTGTAATCATCCTGATCACTCAGCTTCCACCTTGCAATCCTCTAAACTAGGCCACTGACATCTTCTGTCCTCAACTCCACTTCCTCACCAGACCCCATAAAAGATCATCAACTAAATTTCCACAGATTAAAGATGCATCTTTAATAATCTGGAAACAGAGAGAGAGAGTGAGCGAAGGAGAGAGAGAGAGAGAAGCCCTGACACTGGAGAACAGCCTTGCTGTCTACCCCTGGTCCCACACAAGAGAGGCATATATTGTTAACAACCAGTGCTTTAATTATTACATTTCAAAATACTGTTCTGAGCTCTGCCACAGCTTGAATAGGCTGAGAACTGTGAGGCAGCCAGGATAAAAGGACTTGTAACTCCCGACTGAGCTCTCCTATGACTGTGTGGCCTCACCTGCATAGTGGGCACACCCACTCTCTCCTCTTGCCATCTCTACTCTGGAGCAGAAGTCCATAAAGTTCTACCTCAAGGGCCTAAGGACGTAAAAGACATTTTAGGCCTGAGGAACATCTGGACTCTGGCAACTACTCAGTTCTGCCTTCTGACTGAAAGCAGCCAAGGATAATACATCAACGAATGGCCATGGACTGTGTTCCAATAAGACTTTATTTACAAAAACAGGTAGCCAGCCCAGGGCTGTGGTGTGCAGACTCTTGCCCTGAAGCAAAGCAAAACATATAATCTCTGAACTGCAATAAAGTCTATGCTGCAAAAGCAGCAAGTCTGCTGGCACTTGCCTATTCTGTCCACAGGCTCTGGACTTTTGTGTGAACAGGCCTAACAAAGGGACAAAGTCAGTAGATGAAGATATGGACCACTGTCAGGATCCTGATACCTCATCTTTATGAGGTAGTGCCAAACTAGTCCCACTTCAGGGAACCCACGCTATCTCACTTCCTCAGTTTCTTACCCAGGTGACAGCCTCCCCATTACTATGCAGCTCTCAAGTCAGCCACCAACTCACTGAGAATCCTGCTATTCTCTCATTCTCATCAAAAGAATAAGCAATCAGTTTGGGGCAGTGGGGAGTGGGGGCTTTATAAAGCCCACGTTTCCACTGGATAAAGATGTACAACAGGTTCTTTAAAAAAATAAGTTACATAAAAATTTCTGGACACAAAATTCCTATCCAGACCACTAGTCACAGAGAAGACCAGAAGCTAAAAAATACAATCCACATCGAGAACAAGGCTTACTGATGGTCTGCATACTCTGCAGCTATAAGCCTTCCCCTGGTGTCTGGCTCTCAGGAGAGAACCATGGCTCGTGTGGCACAACTATGACTTCATCCAACCCAAACAGAGGAGCTTCTCCTGGATCGGAACGGAACAGCCCTTGGAAGCTGGGGGGGCACTTTTCTCAGCGTGCTCCACCGTGGAGTGTTGCGGCAGAATCCAGGCCACTGCTGACATCATCCCACTGCTGGCCTTCCCTTCAACAGACAAGCTGAGAAGGACATTGCAACCTCCCTGCTCCCCTCCTTTCGGCCAGAAGGGCAGCCCAGGTGCGTGCTTTCATGGACGCCATCTTTCTCTTTCTGAATCACTGCTGTTCAGGTGCCTGTTTAGGAGATGGAGCTGTGGTCACAACAACAGTGGACACTGCTTTGGAGGAACCAGAAGCTGTTCCCTGTTGAAGGTGGGATGCGGGGACAGTCTGGATGCGCACCTGTTTGCAAAGAGAGATGATTTGGTCACCAGGCTGTAAATGAGCTCCTCAGCTAACAGCAAACAGCAAGAGAGCTTCAAGAGGCCTGGTAAAGCCCGCTGTTTGCCGGGGACCTTACCTGTGTGGCCTGGCCTTGCTGCTGAAGCTGCTGCAACTGCTGGGCAGTGAGGAAACTAACGGGCTTATTGCCGGCAATGAGCTTAGTCCCCGCCGGCATGGTGGTCAGGATGATATTGCGGCCCAACCCGCCGAGGCTGTGGAGGGAAAGCACCAGTGAGGCATAATGACAGGCAGGGTGCTATCTCTGGCCCAGAATCTGGCCGCATGTTTAAGGAAAACAGGGAGGTCTGCAGTTCAGTGAAAATTCCTGCATTCTAGACTGAAGTAGTGACACCACTTTTCTCCTAGCTTCTATGCTTCCCATGAAAAAAGAGCAAACCCAAAGGCCTATTATATCCTATGGCTCTGGATATAATGACCCGACTATCCACACCTCGATCAACAGAAATAATGAACAGGAACCCAGGAAGGTGTGTGTTTCAGACAAGAAACTCTCCCATAACTCAGCCACCTTGTGACCATCAGACTGATTTCGTCATGCCCCTTATCCCAGTTTAAGTTAAGACCAAAGGAAGCCCAGCCTCCCAAGCAAGACCTCCTCTTCAGAACAACACAGCACAGGGCTCAAATGTGAACAACAGGCCTTCCCCAACACCCACAATGGAAAGGGCCATCTGAGCCATATCACCAGCCCTCCCCATTCTAGAATGTCCCGTCCGCCTCCTTGCCTTTCCTCCACAGTACACACCACCACCCCATAGGGTATTTACTCTATTATTTCTCTCCTCACCCTACAATGTAAGCTTGAGGACAGCATGGATTTTTGTCTGTTTTAATCACCTCCCTGTGTCCCTACCACCTAATAGTAGATGTTCAATAAATACTGTTGGTGAGCACAACAAAGGAGAAATATCCAAGACGAGCCCCAGAACAACTAGCTGCCTTTCCACTGTGTGGCAAGGAGCCACCAAGAAGCCCCACCTGCCCATCACTATAGCACTTACTTAGCTCCAAGGTTGCCTTTGATGATGGGGGCTGTGACCACACTTTTGCCCTTCATAGGCTGGCTAATAACAGAGAGAGGAACTGTGATCCGAGTAGGCAGCTTCCCCTAAAGAGAAAACGAAACCAGGTTTCCAGGTTAGATAAGGAAATCACGAAGTGTCACGTAGAGGGCCGCAGAACTGAGGAGTGAGCACTCAGACACTCTCTTTTCCTGTATGCTGCAGGGTCTCGGTATTTGAGGTGCCGGTCCAGGCTGCCCTCATAAAACTGCCAATAGGCTGTAAGTTAAGTGCTCTCGTACTGTAATTAGGGAGCCTCTGAGCTGTGGTAACAGCTCCTCATTCACACTACCTAGAACAGCAACAACCATATATAACTACTGTCAGCAGGGTAAATATGTGCACTAAATCACAAAGGAAAATGTATGTTCACTTGAGCACAGTTAAGAGTCTGAAGTCCAATGACAGGCTCCTAATCATCCGTGTGCCTCCCAGCACCTGGCACACAGTTCTGAAGGAAGTGTGACGAAGGACAAAGGCACTCAGGAGTTAACAGAGTGCACAACTACTATTTCACTGGGGCGCAGGCTCACTGGTGGGGAGCAGACAGCAGGGCACACTAGATTAGGAACAGGTCACATTTTCCAGGTGCTTTCCATCTCTCCCAGAGATAAGAAGTTAGTTAAGGGACATTAATAATAAACTCAACCAAGTGAAAAGTCCAACCCCAAAGGCAATAAGGCCTAAAAGGAACAAAACAGAAGCTGATCAAGCCAAGAGGCTTTGGGGTTTCAGGATGGCAAAGATGAGCTCATTGCATCACCTGTTTTTAGACTGCCTGCTTTTTAACCCTTGGTTGGTAATAAAATTTATATACAGTAAAATCTCAGGTGAATCTAATTTTAAGAACTGATTCAAGAGGAGTATTTGCTAGCATACTAACAAAAGGCATCGACACTTCCTTTGAGCAAGCTATTTCTAAAGAAGCTGGGCCCTCAGGTGCAAAAACTGGGTCACAGGTCCCCATACCAATCTCCACAGTTTACTCATAATCTGTAGCACATCAGAAAGCACTGAGAAATGTCAACAGACAGAAGAGTACCTTGAGATAGATGGTGCCTCCAGGTGGATTTCCTGATGGTTTTCTTAAGAATGCCTCAGTTGTGTCAAACGTTTCAGACCACCACAACACCAACCAGAATCGCCCCCCGGTGAACTGGCCTAACTAGCTGACTAGATGGGAAAAGAATGACTGCTCACTACTTTCCACCCTTCATATGCTCTCAGGTTCAGGTGCCCCTGGCTACTATCTGTGTGAGAATGGGTCAAGAGAAAAGTGCACCAAGTGCACTATTTCCTCACTTCCTTAATTTCTATAATATGAGAACCTAAGCAAATATTTCCTTTTAAGCCACACTATGTTTCAGAGTTTGTTGGCTGGTTGGTTTTACTAATGTTCTCCTTCGTCCATCACTCTGGCTTTTGTCCAAATAACTGAGGTTTTATTATACAGCCTGCTTAGGAAATGTAAAACTGTTTTATACTGTCCGTATGCACCCCACTGTACAGAACAGTACTCCTTATCCAGACACTAAAGGGTAGAAACACACATGCACCCAGAAACACACCTATGTTGAAATGGGAATCTGCTTTATGATAAATGTATTTCAAGTTAGTGGACAAAGAATAAACTAGTCAATGATGTTGAAACAAAGAAATACAAAATGAGATATCTACAACATGCCATTCACAAGATATATTTCAAATGGATTATCAATTACACTTTTTCTAAAACTCTGAAAAAGTTATGAAAATGAAGGCTATTATCTTTATAAGCCTGGAGTAAGAATGGCATAAGATGCAAAACCTAGGAGCCATAAAAGAAAATGTTGATAGATCTAATCAGATAAAATACCTGTAGACCAGGCTCCATTTGCAAGGTTAAAAAATGACAAGCTGGAAGAGAACACATTTTCTATACGTACCAAGAATTTATATCCAGAAGATATAAAAAGCCACCCAAACATGAAAAAGTCGAATACCCCAGAAGAAAAGTGGCAAAGATTTATTCAGCGCTGGAGAGCACATGCCAGCCTCCATATAATTGATGCCCAACTCCACTAAAGATCAGGGAAATGAAATAGAAAAAGAACTCTCTTTGCATCAGTAAGATGGGTACTTAAGTTAAAAAAAAAACAAAACACAACTAAAAAAACCAAGATATTCAGCACTGGTTAGGGTATGGGGGAAACAGAAGAGCTGCTGATGGGAGTGGAAGATGGGTGGGGCCTTTTTGGCTGTACAACTCTAGTTATCACAACCTTCAGGAGGTATACCTGACCCATTCTACTTACGCCCCAGAAATACTTTAATGAGTTCATTCATGGCAGCACTGCTCTTTAATAGTAAAAATGTATCCTTTAACAGATGAAAGGATAAAGCACAACCGTTCCGTAGATTATCATGTATCATTAAAAAGGATGCCATCAACATCCATGTAGGATCTAGAACAATCCCCAAAACATATTTTTAAATAAATAAGGCAATCCACAGAACAGTATACACATGAAGGTCCCTCACAGGGATTTCTGTTTAAACTGTGCATGTACAGTGTAAGAAAATGTTCAGGAAAAGGACCAAAAGGATAAATGCCAAAATACTAGTAATTAGCCCTCATGAAGGAAGAAGTAGAGAGTGGTGAAAGAAATTTTATCTTTTACTCTACGTACTTCTGTAATATTTTAATCATTTATGAGAAAGTATGTATATGCTACTTCAGAAATTTGTTTTGTTTCAAACAAAAGAGCCTCGTAGGAAATAAGCCTGTTTGGGTCAAATAAGGTGACACAGACAGAGTCTACTTTCCATTCCTCAAAGAAAAGTTCCCCAAGCAGAAAGGCTATTCTTCCCCACTATGTTACTCACAGCCTGGGACGTGGAAACAACTGTGGTGCTGACAGGGACCTGCCGCACAGCAGAGGCTCCTGTCCCGATGTTGATGGGGGTGCTTGCAGCCCCAGAGGCCACGGCCACAGTCTTGGATACGGCAGCATTCATACTGGGCAAGGACACTGCTGAAGTATGGACAGTTCCAGACCCACTGGCCACTGAGGACCCTTGCTTGGCATGGGTCGCGACTGTGATGGTCTGGCCTGCTTTGGGGGGCATCACACCCAGGCCCTGCACGATACGGATGGTGGCAGCTGGTTTTGCTTCCGAAGAAGCCACTGTGTTTTTCCCCTTCTGGTCTGCCACACTCACACCAAGTGCCGGCATCAAGCGAAAAGCTGAACTTGAGGCTTCTGTTGGCTTGAGGTCAGGAGTCACTTTAACCACGGTGGTACCTGTTGGAGCGGACGAAGGGGCACTGGCCGAACTGGCCTTGGCAGGGCTATCCGTTGCATGGACAGGATTCGAAGTGACGTGTAAGGTGGCAGAAATGCCTTTGCCCGCAGTGCCGCTTCCTGTCCCAAAGAGGTCCTGGGTCAGTTTGACTGTGGTCACCTGGGACTTGGCCAACGTGGCCATCATGTCTGGAGTGATTCGCAGAACCGTCTGGCCTTTGGCATCTGTGGTGATGGAAGAAGGTGGCAAACGCAATACGTCCTTACCCTGGATACGGAAGTTAGTGGCTGTGAGTGGAATGCTGTTGCCTGCCTGGGGCTTCACACCGAGCTGCCCAGTGATTGCCACCTGGATGGGGAAGAGACAGCACTGACAAGGGGATTCCCAGTGCTCAAACAGTTATGAGTATGAACAGACAAACCTCCATTTCGTGGGTACGTGTGTTTCATACATTTTTCTAATTTTTTGTTTTGAAAACTGATAAACATTCAGAAAAGTAGAAAATAGTATAACAAATCCATGTACTACCACTCAGCTTCAAAGTTACCACTTGGCCAATCTTGTTTTATCTGTCCTTCCCCACTTTCTTGGGCTGTGCGGGGTGGGGGTGGGGGGCCTGGACGGAGGAGCTGGAAGATTTTACAGTAGGCCATTATATAGCATTTTGCTGATTAATACTTATTTATGTGTTTTCAACCTAGAAAAGGACTTTTTAAGTTAAAATAATAGTAATAATAATCACCTACACATTAGACCAGATGGACTTAACAAAGATCATGGAACATTCCATCCAAAAACAGAATACAGATTTCTCTTTAAGTGCACATGGAACATTTTCCAAGACAGATCACACATCAGACCACACTCAACACACACACATAAAAAAATTCCACCTATTATTACCCAAAAATTACTTACAAGTATTTTCTAATAATATGCATTCGGATATCCCCAACTGTTTCAAAAATGCCTTTTATTTATAGTTGTGCTGATCTTCAATTTTGGGATCAGAACTATGGCACAGTGGTCAACCATAGGCTTCGGAGCCAAACCAACACCTATCGAAGGCCAATCTCCCGTGTGTAACACATGCACTCTCTAGCCTCAGGGACTGTCTGCTGCATGAGAAATTTCCTCTTTAGTGACCACTTCCGTCAGAATGCAAACGTTTTTTAACATTTCCCAACCTACATAGAAGCAGACCCTCCTTCAGTCCACAACCCCCCACCAGCTCCTGTTCTCTGCTCTCTTCGAAAGCATAATTGCTTAAAAATTGCTTACATTCCCTGTCTCTGCTTCTTCACCTTATATTCTCTTTTGAATCCATCCCCAAACAGCCACGTATCTGCTGGGCCCACTTATTACCTATAACCAATGAGTGATCAATTTTTAGCTTCATGTCATTCACATCTTCATGTACCCATTATAGGTGCTGACTTTATAAACACTTTTCACTTGGTCTGTATTTCAGTCTCTGCACCCCAGTATTTTCTTCTATCTCAGGAAATGATATAACAATCTACCCACTCACTCAAGCCCAAAGCTGTGGGGCACACTCAACTCCCTTCTTTCAACAGACCCCACAATCCTCTCACCAGAGAAGAATCACACCAGCTCTATCATCAACCCACATCCAGAATCCCAGCACTTCTCCTACCCCCAAAGACTACGCACACAAGCCAGTTAACAGTTGAGGATCTGGACCTGCTGCGACCACCTCCCACCTGGCTTCCCTGCTTCTGCTCCTGTCCCCTGAAGCCCATCCTATGCAGCAGCCAGGATCTTCAAATGTAAACTAGATCAAGTCATTCAGACTCACATCTTTCAATGGCTCCCCACCACATTTAAATGAAAATCAAAGTCTGACATGACCTAACCACAGCTAACCTCTCAAGCAACTCCCCCCAACCCCAGCACTTTGACACTTGCTAAGCTGTATGACTGATGGCTTTCCTGTTGTTCCTCAAGCATGTTACTAACTCATGGCACTTTCACTTGCTACTCTCATGCCTACGCTTTGTCCCCAGATGATCAAAATACAGCACACTGACACCATTCTTCCCCTCAGACCTTCACAGACTACCTTAGCTCAAATGGCATCTGTGTCACACTGTAGCCCTTCCCCTTTTTACTGATGTTCATAATTCTTCCTATACCTGCCCCGAAGTGGTTTTTGTCCCCTAGCCCTACGAGAAGATGAGCCCACAAAGGCAGGGATTCAGTCTGTGTCATACACTACCATATCCCCAATACCCTGGACAGAGCCTGGCAAAAAGAGCATTTGGTAAGTATTTAACAAAGAAAATGACATTACTTTACCATTATATGGTTCCATTTCTTCATTTATGAAATGAGAATAGCAAAAGCGCCTATGCCATGCTGTTAGGAGGATTCAATTATTTAATATCTATAAAATGTTCAGCACAGTGTAGGCACATGATAAGCACACCTATCATTGCTATTTTGTCTAAAAATTCTTTGTTGTTGTTTTTACAAGATTTTATTTTTAAGTAATCTTTGTACCCAATGTGGGGCTCGAACTCACACACCTGAGATCAAGCCCCCCACTGCCTAACCATTCTTTGAAGTTCAATTATCATCTGTGCATATTCACAACCAGGAAAACAGAAATGTATCCTACTGTTACTGGAGGTAAACAAAAATGCCAACCAAGTATATAACGTCACACCATGAGATTTTCACTAAATAAATTCACGAGACGTCTACTCCAAATCCAGAAACTCAACTACTAAATGCTGAATTTTGGGGGAAGAAACAGGGGAAATCTTTAGCATCTGTGAAGCCTGCACTGCGTTGGTGGGAACGCACCATTGAAATACCCACGAACTAAAGATTAAAGATCATAAATCATTAAGATCTCCGACTATTCTTTCCTTTGGGAGAAAAGATTTGGATCCACCCAGAGAGATTTCCACTGACCTGCTTGATAATGTTCTGTCCTGTGACGTTCTGAATGACAGCAGCTGTGGAAGCACTCGGAGCAGAGCTCCCAGGAGAACTGGTGGCCGGCTTGCTTGCGGGGCTGGCTGTGGCAGGGAGACTTGTCATCGTGAGCCCCGTCTGCCCGGGTCCAGGCCGCTGCACAGTGGCCGCCGGAGTCTGAGCCTTGACTGGAACGGTGGCCATTACTGTCTGATTCAAGCATGAGGTGGAGAGCTCAATTAAGTACTGAGATGCAGCCCGGCACAGTGAGCTGTCTCCAGCATGTGCCACTGCCCAGGAAGTGTTCCCCTAAGAGAACTTCTGCTCTATCAGTGCTCATTACACTCTAAAGTGGACACTGTGGGGCACCTGGGTGGCACAGTCAGTTAAGCGTCCGACTTTGGCTCAGGTCATGATCTCACAGTTCGTGGGTTTGAGCCCTGTGTCAGGCTCTGTGCTGACAGCTAGCTCAGAGCCTGGAGTCTGTTTCAGATTCTGTATCTCTCTCTCTCTGACCTTCCCCTGCTCACGTAGTCTCTCTCTCTTTCTCAGAAATAAATAAAACATTAAAAAATTTTTTTAATAAATAAAGTGGACACTGTAAAGTTCTATATGTGTGGAGCACCATAATTTTCAGAAAGCTTTCACATTTAACATTCCATTGTATTCCTACATATGGAGAACAAATATTATACCATTTCACAGTAAAAGAAACTGAGGCAGGATGTAAAACTCTTCTCCAAAATTACCCAACTAGTTAGCAGCATGGCTAAGATGAGAGGCACAATAGAAAAGGCCTGAGATTTAGAATCACATTCCACCTCCATCCACCAGGGTCCTGACGTTACAATCTTGGGTAAATCACTAAACTTCTCAAAAGTCTGATTCCCAACATGTAAGATACAACTTAAAAATATGTACTCAGGGGCGCCCAAGTGGCTCAGTTGGTTGAGCATCTGACTTCGGCTCAGGTCATGATCTCACGGTTCATGGGTTCAAGCCCCATGTCAGGCTCTGTGCTGAATGGTTGCTCAGAGCCTGGAGGCTGTTTCAGATTCTGTGTCTCCTTCTCTCTCTGCCCCTCGCCGGCTCACGCTCTGTCTTACTGTCTCTCAAAAGTAAATAAATGTAGCAGCAGCAGCAGCAGCAATAATCTAACACTCCTCAGTGCTCACCCAGCGTGCCCACTGGGCCCATCAGACCACCTCAGGGTTTGGGTCTGCCGTCCCCGTTTACCTGCGGCACGACTTTGGTCTGAGTAGCAGTGGCCGGAACGCGCATCTGTGGTCCCGCTGGCATCTGTGGCAGTGTCTGTGTTGGCCCTGCTGACTGCTGAGTGACAGCAGGAAGGCCAGGCTGGGCCACCACCCGCACCTGAGGCAGTCCAGCCGAGCCAGAGTGGCTCACGACACGGGCGGCTGCCTGAGAATTTGGAGGAGTCTGGCTAGAAGCCGGGGAGAGCATTGTTCCTAGCTGTGGCATTGTGGGTGAAGACACCAGAAGAACACTAGGAGGAAACGGGGGCAGGGGGACAATTAAAAAATAAAGCAACTTAAGCTATACATACAAAAGGTCTCTGGAGAGAGAAAGCTGGAGAGAACAATGGAAGAGCTTACCCTGAGCTAGATTTTGCTGGTTCTGAGACAGGAGTAGGGCCACTTTTGTTCACTGAGGACACAGGAGGAGGAGAGATCGGAGTGGCAGGTAGAGCCGGAGTGGTGGGGGTCACAGGTGTGACTGGAGTGGGTGGCATGCTGGAGTCACTGAGGCTCATCTGGCTCTGCTCAGAAGGGCCACTGCTGAGGACCTTCAATGAACTCTCCTTGCTACCAGACTTCTATAAGCAGAAGGGAAATTCAGGCACGGTTTAGCAAAAGTGACCAAAAGACAGCATGGTTCCTGATGCACGGAGTTAGGTAAGGCCTGGCTGCCACCATCGCTGACACCACTAAGGCAGCTCTCAGGAGGTCACTTACCACTTTGGATGGAGGCTTGGGTTTTTGCTGAAGGGCTTTTCTGGCTTTAGCTGCAGCTGCTTGTGCTTGGTGAATCCGCTCTGCAAACAAGAGTGGTAAGTTTCAGCAACAGTTTAACCTCAGCACGGTAAGAAGGGTAGTTTCGCTAACAGCCAAGGCCTTACAGGTTGCCTCGCCAATGGTCTAAGCCCGGCCTCTAAAGTCCTATCCTGACTGAACGTCAAAGCAGAATGGAATTGGGGCAGTGACTCAGAAGCATCCCTAATCCAGTCAGAGCCTCACACACCAAACTCCTCCTCGCTCCGGTCTCGATGCAGGTAGATCCACAGCTTTCGGCCAATGTCATATTTCACACATGGGTCTTTTTCATAATGCAGCCGATCCAGGGCTCCGCTCACTACTGTGTTCACCTGAGCCCCAGAACAAAGTGGAAAAAGGACAAGTCAGATTCAGACACCAGGGAAAAACCACCGGGTGTGAGTCACAGATCCTATTTCAGTCTGCTGGCAGTACTGCCAATGGCTCACTGGGTCACTAGGCAAAACAAGAAACATGGCGACATTCCTGGGAGATTGTGCTGTGCCCTGAAGGAGACAGTGACCTAAGAAGCTGCAGCAGAAGCAGTAGGAAAGTGCAGAGTGACATTTGTGCTCCACAGACTGCAAGGGTCTTAGGTCATCACTGTTCACATTTCTCAGGACCTCCTTTCCTTTTCTTCATTCACTTTTATGAAATCATCATATATTTCTTTGTACATTTTCTTAAAACTGTTCTGGAAGAAAACAACCATCATCTCTTTTCCATCCTACCTGAGTGCTGGTGACATCTGGTGCCAGAAACTGGGAGTCCTTGAGCAGCTCACAGATCTCTGCCCGGGTACCTTCTCCGTTAGGCAGCCGGGCTGCAGCATCCCGAACTGATGACATCAGAAAATGGAAAGTCCAAGAGTCAGCAGGGCTGCCACTGAGGAGCACTGTCCCTCTACCTGCTCTCTGGGGAGCAGCTCACTGAGGATGTCTCTCTCTGCCTTAGTCAGACTCAGCACTAAGTGGACACTGCCCTCTGGGGACAGTTACCTACACTCTGGGCCAAGACTGAGGTCCATGAACTCGGGTGGGGAAAAATTACATATCTAAAATTTAGCATTTCCTTCAATTATGAGCAAAGGTAACAAACTTTATATTGGCAGTGATGTGATGTTGTGACATAAATCAGTATTTTTGTATCACACACATCACTACTATAGTGATCAGCTACTGTAGACAACTCATGATACCAATTCCACTCATCAATATTTGGAAATTAAAGAAGCTATATTACCTGCTACTAAAGGTTGTCATTTCTGCACCATATATTTAACATTTTGATACACATTTTAATTCGACAGATTTCTTATAGAACTCTTTTAAGTTTTCTATTTTATTCATTTAAAGACAAAATCCTGGGGGCGCCTGGGTGGCTCAGTCGGTTGAGTGTCCGAATTTGGCTCAGGTCATGATCTCATGGCTCAGGAGTTTGAGCCCCACATCAGGCTCTGCGCTAATAGCTTAGAGCCTAAAGCCTCCTTCAGATTCTGTGTCTCTCTCTCTGTGCCCTTTCCCCACTTGCATTCTCTCAAAAGTAAACATTAAAAAAAAGAAAAAGACAAAATCCTAGAGCACCTGGTTGGCTCAGTCAGTAGAGCATGCAACTCTTGATCTTGGGGTTGTGAGTTGGGGTTGTATACCCATGTTGGGTATACAAACTAGTTAAAAATAAAACCTTTAAAAAACATAAATAAAAATAAATAAGGACAAAATCCTGAGATGAAGTCTGCGGGATTCAACAGACTACCAAAGAGCTTCATGGCACAAAAAATGGTTAAAACCCTCATCTTTAAAAGAATCCATCTACGGGTACCTGGGTGGCTTAAGTGTCTGACTCTTGATCTTGAATCAGGTCATGATCTCATGGTTAGTGAGATCGAGCCTCCAGCTGAGCTTTAAACTGACAGTGGGATTTAAGCCTGCTTGGGATTCTCTCTCCCCACCCCCCCTCTGCCCTCCCCAACGTATGTGCTCTCTCAAAAAATTAATAAAGTTAAAAAATATTTATGAAAGGAAAAATAAATCTCCTCTGCTAAATATCCATTTAAAAACAATATAAAATAAAATAAAAGAATCAGTCTGGAGGAAGCAAATTCCCACACTTAATGCTATTTAGCTGGCCTATAAAAAAATTCCTGAATGAAAGTAAACATGAGCCCAAAATGTCAGGGAAGAAACGGATTCTTGGCCTCAATCTCTGGGGGTAGAATTCCCCTTTCATGTCCCACACTCCAAGGCCTCCTAAAACTACATTTGACCCTCAAAGCCCTTCCAGGGACTGGGAGAAACAGCTGATTAGAGAAAGAAATAGATGGCACATACCAAGAGACAGGATGGTGACATAGGCAGGCCGGTCAGAGCGCAGTAGGGAATGCTCCCGAGCCTTGTTGAGTGAGGTCTCCTTGTCAAAAACACCCTTCACAGGCCCCACTACAGACTCAAAGCCATGCATGCGAAAGGTGAACGCTTTATGGGGCTGGCTGTATCTGTAACGCTCCTACCAAGAGAAAGGGACAAGGCTCATAAGTCAGAATTACTGGGGTTCTTTCTAATGCTCTCAAACAGCAGAAGTTCGACCCAGAGAGACTAAAGGGAACAAGCTATTCCATTAGGAATACTGAGGCAACCAGTGGGAAAAAGGTGGTCGCCAAAGCCATAGTCATTACCAAAGGCATAGAGAGATAAATGTAAAATGTATTTTGCTATCTGGAAGAAAAACCCATCAAAACATTTCTTATTCCCTTTCCCCACACCATTTCCACTCTCGGCAAACAATCTCAACCAGCAGAATATCTAAGGTTAAGGGTGTGAATTCCCTCTAAGAATTTGGACTCAAGGACAGTCATGCTCAGAGTCTTCTAGGCATGGCCACATAGATGCAGAGATTTTCATTGGGTTCTAGGTATTTCTTACCTGTTCCTGAAAAACTCGTTTCTCCTCCCCCGTGCTGGGCCGCACCACATAGTCAGTTCTTCTGTAACATAAAGAATTTTGTATCCATCACCCATTCTCCAGCGCCCAGAAACCATTCCTTTGCACCATGAACAAAATGTCCCTTCATTAGTACTCTGTTCCCACAAAGGTCAAAAGTCCACTTGCCAGATCCTAACAAGTAACTCCTGTGCTTCCAAAAATTACTCGAGCCATAGAAATCCAGAAAAGTATGAGGTAGTGATTCAGAGGCTGATGTTTTTACCTGTTTTCACTACTGTTGCTAAGCCCCATCTATTGGCAACAAAAAATTCAGCCTTAGAGGAACAAAGGACTTTAAATTTGTAATATGACAATGGTGGTTTTCAGCTTCCAAGAGAAACTGAGTTCTACAACTCCTGTTACATAAGGACTCAGTTCTGCTGACCCTCTGTTCTGGTGTTCGGGAATCTAAAGAACCAAACCAGACCATCAAAGCAATACAATAGTTAGAAATACATTCAACCAAGGAGGTAAAAGATGTGTACACTGAGAACTAACACTGAGAACTATAAGACTTTGATTAAAGAAACTGAGGAAAACACAAATAAATGGATAGTTTGTGTTCAGGGATTGGAAAAATAGTGTTAAAATGTCCATATTTTCCAAGATCACCTATAGAATCAATGTAATCAAAATACCAATGCCATTTTTCATAGCAACAGGAAAAAAAATCCTAAAATCTATATGCAACCACAACCAACCTCGAAGAGCCAAAGCAATCCTGAGAAAGAACAACAAAGTGAGAAGCAGGACATGTGAAGACTTCAAGCTCTATTACAAAGTTATAACAGTCAAAACAGAACACCACTGGCATAAAAACAGACACATAAGCCAATGGAACAGAATCAAAATACCAGAAGTAAAGCATTGTGCATATGGTCAAACCACTGGCTCCATATTTGACAATGGAGCCAAGAACATTCAATGGGGAAAAGATAGTCTCTTCAACAAATGGGAAAACTGGATATCCACATGGGAAAAAATGACTTATACCATTCACAAAAATCAGCTCAAAATGGATTAAAGACTTAAAACAGGACACCTGAAATTGAACAACTCCTAGAAGAAAACACATGAAAGAGGTTCCTAGACACTGACCTTGGCAACAATTTTCTGGATAGGACACCAAAAACATAAGCAACAAAAGCAAAAATCAACAAGTGATACTACATCACATATAATCTTCTGCAATAAAGGAAACAACAAAATGAAAAGCAACCTACCAAATGGGAGAGAATATTTGCAAATCACGTATCAAAACCACAATGAGAGATCACCTCACCCATTAGAATAGCTATTACCAAAAAGATAAGAAACAAGTGTTAGCAAGAATACAAAGAGAACCATTGTGCACTGCTGGAAGGAATGTTAAACTGCTTCAACTGCTACACAAAGTGTATGGAGATTCCTTAAAAAATTAGAACTATCGTATGATCCAACAACTCCAACTCTATTTCCAAAGGAAATGAAATCTTGAAAAAAACATGCACACTCTTATTTGCAGCATTATTTACAAGAGCCACAACACAGAAACAACCTAACTGCCCATCAACAAATGAACGTATATATTCCTTAAGACAACATATGATTTAGCCATAAAAAAGGAAATCCTACCATTTGCAACAATATGGATGGCCCTTGAAGGCATTATGCTAAGTGAAATAAGTCAGAAAAGACAAACAGTGTATGATCTCCCATATGTAGAATCTAAAAAAAGTCGAACTGACAAAAACAGAGAGTAGAATAGTTATCAAGGGCTGGAGGATGGGGGAAATGAGGAGAGACTGATCAAAGAGTATAAACTTGCAGTTAGAAAACGAGTAAGTTCTGGGGATCTAATGCACAGCAGGATGACTACAGTTACCAATACTGATTGGTATACTTAGAAGTTGCTAAGAGAGACCTTACATGTTCTCACCACAACAAAAGAACTGAGAATTATGTGAGACAATAAATGTTACTATGGTAATCATTTCATAATATATACATGTATCAAAACAATATGTTGTACTTCTCAAACTTAAACATTATTATATGTCAAATGTATCTCACCAAGGCTGGGGGTAACAAAAGGGACCACACCAGACTGGAAACAGTCACATAACATGATGTAATATAAAGAACTCAGGATTAGAGGTCAAGAGGCTTAAATTCTATATCAGCTCCTATCACTAACCTTTAGCAAGTCACTTAACCTCATGATTCAATTTCTTCACAGGTAAAATAAGAAAGATTAGATGAATCCTTCTCAAATAGGAACTGAAGGAGATTTCGGGGGAAAGAGTAAGCCCTCCACAAGGCAGATTACATCCCCATCAGAGACTCCACTATGCAATCCTCCCCCAATTCAGAATTCTCTGCTCAGAAAGCCACTCATACTTAAGGGAGTATGCTGCCCTTTTCCATATATTAAGGCAGGTAAGAATCAGTGGACTTCTAGGACCTTTAAAGTTGACTTCGGCTCTAACATACTAAGAAATGTCAGCAAAACCCGTGGCAGTACCTTCAACTATAATTTCACGGAAAACCACCCACCATTAAAGTATTATACTCACACCCGAGGAACAGGTGTTGTGGCATCTGAGCTGTCTTCATTTTCTTGCTGGAGAAAAGGAAAACATTAACAGGTAAATGGGTTAAAGAATTCTGACTAATTTAAGGGCTCTGGAAACCCAGTAAGAAAGATCTGGTATTCCTTTGTTTTCAAGTTTATTTATTTTGAGAGAGAAAGAGAGTCAGAGTGCATGCATGTGCCAGTGGGGAAGGGGCAGAGAGGGAGAGACAGAAAATCCCAAGCAGGCTCTGTGTTCAACATGGACCTTGATCCCACAAACTGTGAAATAATGACCTGAGCTGAAATCAGTAGCCAGCTGCTTACTGGACTGAGCCACCCAGGCACCCCAGATTTGGTGTTTCTTTAAAACCTTACCTTACAGAAAGCCTGGTCTTTGGTTTCTAGCCATAGCTGAAAGAGTGCAGCTAATTCCTTCTCATTATCTTGGGACTGGCCTATCAGAAAAACAAAAAGGTGAAGTAATAACAATGGTAATAAACAATCTAAGGTATTACTCAGAATCCCACTTTTTCCTGTTCCACAGAAAAAACCCATCAGGACCTCTGTATATACTGTCCCCTCAGCATGTACTGCCTGGACCACCACTTCTGGATGTCCCCTAAGTAAATCATTCATTCCCTAGGTGTTTGCAGAGTAGCCACTGAATGCCAGGCACTGCATGGGCTAGGGATTAGTCAGTGAACTCAGTCTCTGTTCTCATGGAGTTTACAGTCAAGTGAGAAAAGAAGACATATTAATAAAATCTCAGTGGTAGGTGTCACAAAGGATATTATGCAACCTTACTCTAAAAAAGTTACCCTATCATGGGGGGGGAGGTCAGAAAAGACTTCTTCTTGTTAGTGGGTCAACGGAGGCATTCTACAAACTGGCACAGCAGTAAAAAGGCCCCAGGCAGGAGAAAGGCTTGCCGTAAGGCCCCTTGTCCTGCCTTAGAGAGATGAGAACCTCACTCTGCGCCCTTCTCCCCTATCACTTTGTTTAGGATCCTATAGAGGCACCCATCAAATGATTGTCCCTATGTCTCCTGCCCAGTCTAGAAGCCACAGAGACCACCAGCACTCACAACAACTTGCGGGAAGAACAGAGCTGCCCGAGCCTAGCCTTCTCAGAGGCAGCTGAGATGACACTTCTGAGGACTCTTACATGCTTTCACTAGTCAATGTACAGTACCGTCATCAGCAGAAAGTGCTGAACTTCCTTACCCTGGGAAGATTCCTCATACTCTGGCTCTGCCTTCTAGAAATGCTTCTCCATAATCAGTTTCCCTATAGCCTTAATCCTATTCTCACACCACTCCCTCCACATCCCTGCCTGGTGTGAGGTCGGCCTCTCCCCGGTCCTTGGGCCTTTGGGTGTGGCAGCCACCTATTCTCTCGCAGCCACGCCCTTCCGAGTGAAGTTCCTCCTTCCATCCCATAACTGATGCCAGACTATTCCCCACTAACTCTTCTGGAAAATCAAAATAAAACAAAAGCCTGGTCCCTAAGGCTCTTAGCATCCACCTGTTCCACCCTGCCCTCTGCTCCTCTCAGCTGCTTACCTAGTCCTTTCTCGCAAGGAGCTCTGGCTCACCTGATGCACCAGTCTACTCCCTGCCATCACGCTGGGCAACTGGCACATCCATGTGGATGGTACAGCCAATATCCAAACCCCTTGGTTCTGTCCTCACGACCTCCTCCCTCCACTCCACCCCAGCCACTCACTCCCACAATCACAACTGGACGTTGTCATTAGCTAAAACTACATCCTCAACATGCCCATACCCTCTACATGCCCATGTTCCTCTACCCTGGCTACATATGAACAGTAATCACCTGGGAACTTCTAAAAATACTAAGGTTCAGGTTCCATACAAATCTGTGGGTAAGACCTTGGGTATCAGTGTTTTTAAAAAGTTCTACCTGGGATGCCTGGATGGCTCAGTCGGTTAAGCGTCCAACTTCAGCTCAGGTCATGATCTTGTAGTTTGTGAGTTTGAGCCCCGTATCGGGCTCCGTGCTGACAGCTGAGAGCCTGGAGCCTGCTTTGGATTCTGTGTCTCCATCTCTCTCTGCCCCTCCCCTGCTTGTGCTCTCCTCCCCCCCAAACAAACATTTAAAAAAAAATTTTACAAAAAAAAGTTCCCCGTGCTTATAGGACACAGAGCCAAGAGCCTTTACACCAACCCATACCTTCTGCTCCCAGACCACAATCATCTTGACTCTTTGTTTGCTTCCTTACTCCCACCAAAACATCACTCTGACTCAACAGGACTGCCAGGCCACTGATGCTTCTCCAAGCCCCCTTCTGTCATATTTCCCTCCTTACTGGGTTCCGTCCATGTCCATCGCTTCAATGGCAATCTTACCGGTACAGTAATACCTGCTAACCTCTGTTCCTGTATCTATGTCATTCCAACCCCACAAAACTCATATTCTGAATTGTCCACATTCTTCATGCTTCATCTCAAACAGCTAAGGGCTGCCAAAGAAAAAACAAACAAAAGGGCAAAGAATACCACTATAAATGCCCAGTGGGCAGCCTCCATGTACCCTCCACACTGCCCAGCAATCTAACATAACCTCTGGTCAAGCTAGCCTCTCACGGCCACAGCAGCTACGTTCCCCCTCTCAACCTCCCCTTCTCACTCACAGCAACCTTACCTCTCTCCCCTCCTACTTTACACAGAAAAGCCATCAAACCAAACTCCCTCAAAGTTCCCACAATACAACCTGCCAGCCTACTGCTGGGTGTCCATCGCTTTTTCCTACAATAAGAAATGTGCTGCCGTTTCTGCCATCCAAGGCCAATCCCTTCCCATTTCACAGGGATTTTTATGGTGAATTTTCCCTTCTCTCCTGTATTTTCAGCCTCCGTCTCTCCACTGAACTCTTTCCATCAACACCTGGATTCACTCAGTTTCTCTCCTTTAAAAAAAAAAAAATGCCTCTTTTGGCCACTAGTCCCTCTTACTATCGTCCCCTCCCCTGCTAAACTTCTAGAAAGAAATGTTTAGATTCACGGTCTCTTTAACCAGACATGTGCAGGTAAAGATTTAACTGGCTACAAGAAAGGGGGCCCTGACTGGTAGCATCTGCAGATCTCCATGGGGTATATTACAGGTCAGCAAACTGGCCGCCTGTTTTCTGTGGTCCACAAACTTAAAACCTTTATTATCTGGTCCTATACGATCTGCCACCCTGAGCATAAGACCCCCTCCAGGCTGACTTGAAGCCACCAGCCCTACAGAGCCGGAAAGAGCTGCACAGTCAGCTATCATGGGTCACCTTCAGCTCCCCACTGTCCTTGATGCCCATCATCCTGATAAGGAGTCATTTTTATAAGAAATGCACCATTTTCTTTTATGTCCACAGATCCATGGGCTTTATCTTACTGAACCTTTTAGGAACAATCAAAGCTAATTACCACTCCCCACTTCCTGACTCTGTCCTTTGGTTTCCAACACTCCACTATCTCATGGTTTCCACCCAAGCCTGTAGCCACTTCTCCATAGGCACGCAATTCTGCTCAGCCTGCCTTGGACCTTCTCAAGGCTTAGTCTGAGGCCCTCTTTTTTCCTCACTTCATGCTTCCTCCCTATGCCTTTGGCTTCAGTTTCTGCAGATATGCCAACAACTCTCTCTGCCTTAACTCTCCCATCTGGATTCTAAACCCACACACCTCACTGCCTACTCAACACCAACACTTAAAATACCTCAGAGGCGGCTCACACTCAGCATGTCCAAAACTAAACTCAAGATCTTCACCCTCACCTGAGGCAAGACGTTCTCCACAGCTGCCTACCTCAATGAATTACATCTTCACCAATAGGCACAAATCTAGCAGGAAATGATGTCTGACCGCACTCTCCCTTCACTCCCCACTGCCAGTCACAACCAAGGCCTGTGGCTTTTACCACCTAGAACTTTCTCAAATTTGTCCATTCTCTCTTGTTGGGTCCAGATTATCATGCTACGTGGGCTTGTGCAATCTTTTTGAATTGAATCTTCCTTAGCACCACAGACTCATACTGCTTCCTCCACATGGAATGCTCTTCCCCTCAGCCTGCCTGGCTCCTTCCTTAGTCATCATTACTGCCTCTGCTGAAATATTCCTTCCTTAGGAAGGTCCTCCCAACTCAGCAGAATATACCAACACATCATCATAAACTTCTATCCCTTCTGGTACTGTTCCCTTCCAGAATGTATATGTTCATTATTTCATCTGAATGAATGTTCGTTATATACTCCAGCAGCTAACACAATGCCTGACACCTAAAAGCTAAATACACATTATAAAGAATAAACGGATCTACTGAGTTCACAACCTTCTTCTCCATCTCTCTCTTCACAGACCAGTCAAGGGGGTCAAGAGAAAATGTTTGTGAATTTCAGCAGGAAATCAACACAGAATTTTCCTTTTATCACTGTCCTGTCACCAAGTTACTTCAGGTGCACAATACTACAACTTAAATACTACAACTTAGTAAGTGGGACTTTCTAAATTTAAAACAAAACTAAGAATCCTGATCCTTGGATACAGTTTATTTAGGGCTGTCCAACAACCTTTTTTTTTTTTTCCAGTGTTTTTTTATTTTTGAGAGAAAGACAGAGTGCGAGCAGGGGAGGGGCAGAGAGAGAGGGAGACACACAGAAACCAAAACAGGCTCTGGGCTCTGAGCTGTCAGCACAGAGCCCAATATGGGTCTTAAACCCACGAACCATGAGATCATGACCGGAGCCAAAGTCAGACGTTTAACTGAGTGTGCCACCCAGGTGCCCCATGGGCTGTCCAACACCTTACTGCACATTATCCTCAACAGTAAAGTCCACTGTTAGGGAAAAAAAAAAAAAAAAACTATTACACATTAATCTAAAACCATAGGTACAATTAATTCAAATGTGTGTGCTACTATAAAACACCCCTGCAGATTTAAATTCCTAAGTATCAGGATACATCATAACAGAAGGGCTGTCACCCCAGCTGGGGTGAGCCAAAATCCAATAGAGGGATTAAAACTTAGACCCTGAAATACTAAAGGGGTCATGAAGGATTTTTTTTTTTTTTCCCTTAGCAAAACAAGGCTTAATATTGCTGTTTCTAACATTCTACTGGACTGGACTGACTGGAAGGCAAAAGAGGCTAAGCAGAGGAAGTGAGGGAATGAAAACCTACTGCTATAGACAGGGAGTATGAATTACTTACCAAGCAATTTCCACTGCTGGGTTTTCTCTTTGAATTCAACAAATGGAGAGAAACTGGAAGGTACAGCTGCAAGAAATGAATCACATGAACAGGACATCCAGGTCAGAGGTAGCGCTGAATTCAGAATTACTACCATCCCTGAGCTCTGACTTAACTCTTACATGTCTCATAGTGCATCAGGATAGCAGAGACAACCCCAAGGTACACCATTATGCAAAACCATTCAGACTGAACCAGGAACACTGCAGTTTACTAGGAGAATGAAATAAACAGAGAGGGAAAAAATACCTGACCCTAAAGAAAGAACTACCTTACCACGACTTTCTCCAGCAAGATACTGCAGGGCTGGTAACACCAACTCCGCCCAGTTGGGGGCCGCGGAGAACCAGCTATTGAGGGAGCTGGCTGGAGAAGACTGCCAATCCAAAACCCGTTCCTCCAGCTAGGGGTAAGTAAAGGCAGAACCCAGTTAGAGTTCTACTCTAAACCAGCAATTCCAGAGATGCTCCAGAACAAGCTAGAGTATATTTGTAAGTCACAAAGCAAGTTAACTGCACAGCTTTGGGAGGAAACCAGAATTATTCTTCTCCAGCTTGAGACTGTTAACGTTTTCCACAATTTGAAACTCTGATATACACGTGATTTTCCCAAAACTCTTACCATAGGAAGGCTAGCTTGCCCCTCCAGCAGCAAGATCTCTAAGAGCAAAGAGAAGAAACTGGAAGATATTTCATTGATTCCAAGGCAAGGCTTGAGATCTTCAAGAGGCCTAATGAAGGAAAAAATATGTAAGAACCAAAAAGACAAAAAAGACAAAAAAGACATCTACAGATGGTTTAAGCCCTCTAACCCTCCTAACGGTCATAAAAAAGTTCAATAAGGGACCACACTATACAAGTTCCCTAGCAAGTCCCCTGGGACTCAGGTCGTGTTTGTGTGTGTGTGTCTGTGTCTGTGTGTGTGTGTTTATGCAAATTCAACATACACCAGCTCATTTCAAGCACCAGCACTAAGTACACTCCCCAGGTTAACCTTTCACCCTTGAGCAGTAATCTCTGTTGCTCACTTACTCCTCCTTGATAGCAGGTATAGCCAGTGGAGAAGGGGCCTGTGAGAGAGGTGGGATCCCATCAGCACTGCTTAAGGGTTCAGTCAAATCCTCTGCCTCTGATTTGATCAGTTTTATTTTCTTCTTCTTCTTCTCCTCTTTTTCCTTAACCTTTTTTTTAAGGACAGCCAAGTCATATAGCGCTGGGAAGAAAAGGCAACAAAAATCATAGAACTACATTTTCTACATCAGAAGTGAGGGGTCTTATCTGCATGTTACTTTGCCAACACCCACTGGTAGAAGAAAGAAAAGTCTTAGTAATAAGACATTTAGTTGTTTTTTGTTTTGTATTTTAACCAAACCCAGTCACAGATTTTACAGGTAAATTTTAGCTCCTATTAAAGAGACAAAGACCTATTGTACTGATTTTATATTCATTTTCCATCTATAAATCCATGAGAGGCAATAACAAAACAAAGTCATCAGCAAGAAGGAAACTGTGGTTTCATTTATTTTTGCCACATGTAAGGAGGCTACGTAACGCAACACCACAGTCAGATGACGTCTACCCACAGAGGACATCATTTACCTGCCAGAGAGCCCTTCCTGCCAGCATTTACTCGGGTCATGATGTCATTGAGAGTCAGGTCCCCTGTCAAAAGGTCCGGATGATCCTGGATGTGATATTCAGAGATTTGTTAGAGAGGCCCAAATAAGGAGCTAAGACTGCCAATGATTTTGCCAATTTACCTAACAGATACAATCAGATGTTGGGCGCACTTGAGGAAATCATGCTGAATCAAAAAATGTAAGGAGGTTAAAATTACTGCCCTGCATAACGGGGCACAGGAGAACCCAGTTCCAACCCTTCTACTGCACAGCATTTAATTTATGAACCTCTTTTACATTCCTTATGTGCTCTTCAAACAGTCTTAAGTATCACTGTTATTTTACAGTATGAGAACATGGTTCAGAGAAGTTAAGGGATTTGCTGACTTCTAGTGTGTGATGGTTTCCATGGCACCACTCAGCTTCAGATGGTCAGCCATTTCTTCCTCCTCTGAAGCCAGATGGACTGGCTTGATTGCCCTGGCATTACCCTGTTTCGGTCAAAGTGAAGTAATAGAAAGAGTAAAAAGTGCAAAGAGCACAGGACTGACCCTTGACTTCCTAGCTGCAAGGCCAAGGACAAGCTCCTTAACCTCTCTGAACACAGGTAAAATAGACATAAAGATCCATGTACCAGTCTTGCGGTAAAGCTGAAATCGGACACTACGTTAGGTGTCTTGTATTCCTCTCTTATCTTTGCTGTTAACTAGCCTCTACTGTTGCTCCTGTCCCCCAACAATGACAGAAAAGGAAGCGTAAATAACAATACTGTCACTACCTTCATCTTCCAATAGCCAATCCAAAAATATTAGACTGAAAACCACTAACAACCACCCAACCCAATCTTACTGGTTGATGTTTCCGCTTCTCATGGTGCTTCTTTAACATTATCTTCAGGTCACTGTCCCCCAGTTCTATTTTATCTGAGAGAGAATGAACCAAACCACATGGACTAAGTCATTCACTAACATGATACTCAAATTCAAATCTTTCTGGTCACTGTGATACTCATATAGAACGTGTTTCTCTGCGTTTCCCTTCTGACTCCTGTGTACTATAAGCCCAAACAATCTTCAAACGGTCACAGGATCAACTCTTCAGCTTTTCTCTACCTCAATCAAGAATGACCTCACTTAGCTGCTCCAAAAACACACTGAAAATTAACATTCTTTGATTCCTACCCCAATTAAAAGTTCTTCTCTGGTTTCACAGACATTCTCAGAAATTGCTATGGCTCTGGTTAACCCTCTTGTTCTATTACTGAACTGCTCTGAAGAATTATTTTAAGAATCTATTTTCTTTAGCCCAAAATACCAGCTGATCAGCAACTAAGGAAAAGTTCCTAAAGAAAGAAAGGAAGGCCTACCTACTTGTAAAAAAGTGGAACTGTACAAAAACTTCTCCCAATCTCCTACTTCTAGGGAACACTGCTTCAATTCCCTGGCAGGTAAGAATCTAGCGCCCACCTCCATCCAAGGGAGTTCTCAGATCTACGTTCTGCTCTCCCAAAACATTCACAGCGTCACTCAATTCTCACCTGCAGTTTTCATATCCGTGGTTGAAAGCGTGGGCACCACCCTCAGGGGCACCGCAGGGCTAGGAGAACGCGCTGGAGAGCTCGGAAGCCATGAGCTGAGATCTTCAAAAGAAAATTTTTCTTGTAAATCCAACGTGGCTGTGGACTCCAATAGGGGAGATTGGGTAAGTGGCCATTTGGGTTCAACAAGGCTAAGCCAACAACATGGAGGCCAGGGTTCCACCATTCTTTTCTGACCCTTCTCCAGACGAACTGGAGCACACTTAGGTCATTTAAACGGCTCTTCCAGGAAGAGAGACTTCAACAGAGTGATGGGGTCGCATTGCAGCAGGCCAACAGTCACTACTACTCTCCTGTAAGGGGAAAAGCAGTTCTCTCAAGTGGCACAATAGGACCAGACAGGCCTACTGTGGAGAGCCCTGCCGTGCAGGGATGCATCTCATCTAAGCTCAAATGCCACTTAAGTATCAACAGTAAAAAAGGTATACAGTTACATCCCACCTACCAGGAATGTCTCGATGCCCAAAGACTAAGGGGTTCTGAGCCCCATTTTCCACCCCCTCCCCAAGAGAGACAACAGGGATGGCTTCTTTGCTGGGGAGATAAATGGCTACCACTGGCTCCAACTGAACAAGCTGCTGGTGTAGATCCAACACCCCAGGTACCCCAAGTGCCCCCAAACACTCACCTTCTTCATCAGATGACAGGTCTGTGTCACCACATTCCTCCTTCACTTCCCTCAAGACCTTCAAGTAGCGTTGCTGGGTCCGCCACTCCCGCTCCTCAGGGGTGCGGGATGGTGAAGGGCGCTTCTGGCGAAAGGAAAGGGCCGGACCACTCCGTCGGGCCATCTCCAGCAGGTCCTAGGGAGCGATCAGATGGGGATGCACATCATCATCCAAAGCTTGTTGTGGTACATTCTCTGAGACTACAATTTCTTCCTGAGAAGACATCGTTTAACAGACAAGTCCCTCCCTTCAGATCACAGAGATGCACATATGAGAATATATCCAAACAAAAAGGGCCTCTACTGATTACTCCATGGCAAAGTATCTTAAATCTGAGTGGTGAACTGCTCCCTCGAGAATGAACACTTATTATACTAAACACCCAACTATTTCCATACTGAAGCTTAAGAACCACTTAGAACCACAACTGTGCCTCAGAGATTACTAGACTAACCAGGTCCCAGGGCCATGAAGCCTGATGCACTATTTATCCATCAGGATATCTGGAGGCCTATGTGCTCTCATACATCAATTGCAGAGCAACCTGCTTCTCCTTAATAATCCATGATGGATCTCAAAGTCATCTGCATATCCTGGTAAATACTGAAGCTATGATATTTCATCAATTTTAAGAGACACCTTTTTTCCATATTTTCACATCTTTGAAATCAAGCTACATCATAAAATTAATAAGAAAGAATGATACAGCCTATGTCATGGCTTAACTGGTAGCATTTTCCTCTTAGTGCTACCTTTTGTTATTTGGTATCTGAACCAACTGTTGAAGTCATAAGATCTGTGCATGCACTGTCCATGTCTGATATCCAGTTCCCAAGCATTACTTACACTCCGGGAAGCCAGGATCTGCTTCAGCAACCTATGGAAATACTGCTGCTGGGAGGTGAGGTAGCGCTTATACTGGGACTTGAAGCACAGCTGCCGGTACTTAACCACCTCGGGGTTAAAGTGTCCATCTTAAAAGAATAGAGGTACAACCATATATGTGTATATACATGTGTGTGTGTATAATATATACATATAACATTTATATTTACAGGTCAACAAATATTTTTTTTTAATTTTTTTTAATGTTTTTTATTTATTTCTAGGAGAGAGAGAGAGAGAGAGAGAGACAGTGTGAGCAGGGGAGGGTCAGAGAGAGAGGGAGTCACAGACTGAAACAGGCTCCAGGCTCTGAGCTGGCAGTCAGCACAGAGCCCGACGCGGGGCTCGAACCCACGAACCGCAAGATCATGACCCAAGCGAAAGTCGGACGCTTAACCGACTAAGCCACCCAGGCGCCCCAAGGTCAACAAATATTTAATGCAAACTTAAAATGTGGCAAACTCTGTATCAAACTAGAATACAGTACAGGGAGAAAAAAGACAATCTATGTCTATGTGGGGCCTATGGTCCAATGGGAGACAGAAAATAAACAGGGGCGCCTGGATAGCTCAGTCATTTGAGCATCTGACTCCTGATTTCCTCTTAGGTGATGACCCCAGGGTTGAAGGATCAAGTCCCACATCCATCTCCACACTGAGAGTGGAGCCTACTTAAGACATTATCTCTCTCTTTCTCTCTCTCTCTCTCCACCACCCCCGACCTCCCCCATTCACACATGCTCTCTAAAAAAATAATAAAAAAGAAAGAAAAGAAACATAAATATTCAACTCTTGTGAATACTATCAGAAATTAACTTGAAGCAATTGTAGAGAGTAAGGAAGAGTCATTCAGGAAAGGGATCTCTAAAGAATGAGACATAAAATGAAGCCTGATTAAAGCCACTGTGGCAAAATGAAAACTGATAAATACTGGTAAAAGTTATACAAATGTTTATAATACTATTTACCAACTTTTATGTATGTTTAAAAAAGTTTCATTAGGAGGAAAATAAATGGAAATTTACAAAGAAGAAGTAAAAATGGTGAAAAGGCAAAAGGAACAGCCTGTGCTAAGAAAAGACCTGAAGCAAGAAAGAACCTGTCATGTCCCAAAACGTGAGGAAATGTCTGTACGACTAACATGGACTGGGCTGTAGCTGGGGGGGCATGTGATGCCCTGAGAAGCTGGGCAGAGGTCCAACCACACGGGTGGAGCTGGATTTTATCCCAAGTACAATGGAAATAATTTGAAAGGGTTAAAGCAGAATGACATGGAGGGAGCAAGAGAGGAAGAATGAAAACTAATGCAAGGGTCCAAGTGAGATGATGGTGGCTTCCCTCCACACCTGGAATAAAAGCCAAGGTCCAGAGGTGGCCTGGCAGGCCTTTATGATCTGTCCTGGGCTACCTCTGGCCTCATCTTCACCAGTCTCCCATTTGCTGCCTCTACCCCAGCCCCAATGGCCTCTATTTCCCAAACAGGCCACATACCTGACTTTTTCAAGACCTTTGTGTTTGAAGTTCCCTCTACCTGCAATGCTTCCTACTAACACCCAGTATTTTCACGGCTTGCTCCTCCTACCCTCGTTAAGCCTCTGTTCTGCTGTCATCTCATCAGAGAAGCCCTGGCCAGCCACCAGGTCTAAAACAGCCTCTTCCTGTCGCTCTAGTCCCATTACCCTCCTTATTCTCTGGAGGACTTAATGTCAATAAGTATTTGCTTGTTCGCTATCTGTTTTTCCCTCTCAGAATGTAAGATCATTAGCACATGTCTCGAACATCGAAGAATGTCTGGCACGTACAGAAGTAGAGAGACTTGAAATATAGTTCTGAGAGAAGGATTAGACCTGCTGATAGTTCTGATATTGGGGCATGATGGGGGCAATGGGGAGGTCAACTGAACATGGTACCCTGATCACTGAACACGAGCAACTGAAGTCACTGCCTGAAATAAACAGGTCAAGGAGAGGTCCACTGTGGATGTATTAGATTTGAGTAGATGGGCCATGAAGAGAACTGAGAAGGCAAGATTCAGAAGCTAATCTCAGAAAAATAAAATGAGGGGTCAAAGCACACGGTGTTTCTCTCTTTTTCCCCCAACCACCCTAATACTATCCAAAGTAACTAACAGCAGCAAATGCTTAGAACAGTACCTGACAACCACCACTACGTAAGGACCATATATATATTAAGTCACTCAATCCTTGCAACAACCCCATAAAAAAGGCACTACTAAATGCTCATTTTACAGATGAAGAAACTGAGGCACAGAGAAGTTAAATAACTTGCCCAAGGTCACACAGCCAGTAAAAGGGAAAATCAGGTTTCAACCCAAGTGGTCTAACTCCAGAGTCCAGGCTCTTACCCACCTTGCTATGCTGCCTGCTATAGGGAAACAGGAAACATGACCTTCAAAAAATGAGCCCAGAGTTCAATACTACTGATGCTATTTGATATATAAACATTAGACTAATATTTTTTGCCTCTATACTTCTTTGAAATTCTGTTCCTTCAGTTTTAAGTTTCCTCTGTTTTTTGAAAGCTTGGGTGGCTCGGTTGGCTAAGCATCTGAATCTTTTTCGGCTCAAGTCATGATCAAGTCTGTGAGCTCGAACCCCACGCTGGGCTCTGCGTTGACAGCACAGAGCCTGTTGGGAATTCTCTCTCTCCCTCTGCTCCTGCCCTGCTCATGCTTGCTCTCTCTCTCTCAAAATAAACAAACTTAAAAAAAAAACACTACACCTCTGTTAAAATAATATTTTGTATAAGGAAAATACTACTGAAATTATTAATTATGGTAAATTAAAATATCTTATTAAAACTAATTTAACTGCCTTTACAATTCTTAATATGTCTACTAGAAAATTTTATCTTGAACACATGGCTCATGTAATACTTCTATTGGCCAGCACTGGGCTAGATAACAGTGAGAAAACAAGAGAGTAATACCAGATGAAGTTGGATAAGCAGGCAGGAGCCAGGTCACAAAGAGCCTTGTAGGCACTGAATTTTATTTCGGGTGAAGACAACTGCTAAATATTCCACAAAGTGAGTTTTAAGATGCTCACTCTGGGAGCCATGTGGGGATGGCAGCTAAAGTAGCTCAGGCAACAGTCATCAGTGAAGAGATGGTGAGTGAATGCAGGCAAGTACAGAGGGAAGAGAGGAGCCTCAGCAGCAGTAACACAGACAGGAACAATGAGTGGAAGAGGGGTTAGCAAAGAAAGTGGGGTGGGGAGTATGGTGTCAAACACACAGGGGGAGATCTAGGGCAGGGAAGAGTCACTGATGCAAAGTGGGGGAAAGTCTCAAGATGGAGGAAGTGGTCAAGACAACAGATGTGCTCTACAGGGGCACCTGGCTGGCTCAGCTGGTGCAGCATCCAACTCTTGATCTTAGGGTTGTGAGATCAAGCCCATGTTGGGCATGGAACTTACTAAAAAAACAACAGTAATAAAAGGAAACTAAAAAAAGAAAGGACAGTAGATGCTGTGGACGGATCAAGAAGAGAACTAAAAGAGACTTGGAGAAGGAGGGGCGCCTGGGTGGCTCAGTCAGTTAAGACCTGGCTGACTTCGGATCAGGATCTCACAGTCATGAATTGGAGCCCTGCATCGGGCTCTGTGCTGATAGCGTGGAGCTCCCCCCAACGTGCACACACAAATGCGCGCGCTCTCTCTCCCACCCAAAAAAGAATAAAATAAAATGTTAAAAAATACTAATAAAGAGACATGGAGGAGGAAAAAAATGTTCGCTGGAACAACTGGTGAGATAGGAGTACAGACTAAGTATTTGATAGCAGCAAGTCAACATTACATTTTATATTAATATACAGAATCCAAATATGGAAAGATGCTGTATTTACAGTATTTCTGAATTTGATCATTTGTAGTTATGTAAGAAAACGTTCTTATTCCTCAGAGATTAATGCTGAAACATTTAGAGACACAATGTCTGCAATACTTTCAAACGGTTCAGCAAAACAATGATAATATATGCAGTAGTGAATGAGACTAAATATGGTAAAATGTTAAAATGTTAATGTTAATAAGCTGATGAACCTGTTCACCCTTGAACACAAGTTTAAACTGTGGGAGTCAACTTATATGTGGATTTTTTAATAGTACATGCTATAACTGTATTTTCCTTATGATTTTCTTAATACTGCTTTCTTTTCTCTAGCTGACTTTATTGTAAAAATACATTACATAACACACATAGTATACAAAATAAGTCTTAATGTACTATTGTTAAGTAAGGCTTCTGATCAACAGTATAGGCTTTTAGTTAAGTTCTGGGAGAGTCAAATTTATAAGTGGATTTCTGACTGTGTAGGAAGCAGGCACCCGTCCACCTGTGTTGTTTAAGGGTCAACTGTACATGAGTGTCCATTATAAAATCTTGTGACTTTGTCTGTTAAAAAGTCTCCTGTAGCTTTGAAATTTAAAAGTAAAAAAAACTTGAAGGGGAAAAAAAAAAAAGCAGTCACTGGTGGCATTAGTAAGAGCACTCTCTGTGAAGTCATAAGGTGAAAGCCATAAGGGAACAGGGGCACAATGACTGGAAGAGACAGCTATGGATAACCTTTCAACAAGTTTGGAGAGAAAAAGGCAAATGACAAAGTACAACAGAGGAGACAGATGGTTAGGGACTTTTTTTAGTCTGAGACCCCTGAACGCATCCATAGGCTGAAGCAGAGCAAGTGCAGAGAATAGCAAAATAGAGTCCGCAGGACAGAAGGGATGGTTAACCAAGGAAAAAAGTTCCCAGAGGATGTAAAACATGAAGGGATCAAGAACACAGGTTAATCTTAAACAGAAGAAAAAACTCCTTTTTCCTCTGAGGTAAAGTGGGTCAGAATGGAAATGAATACTGTGATCTGGGGTAGAGGCTGGAAGTGGGAAGTGGGGAGTGGAGAGTTTATGACACAAGATCCTTCATGAAATAGGAGGCAAGAGAGTCTGATAAGCATTTGGAACTTAAAGAAAAGGTGGACATTTAAAAGAGGATCAGGGTGCATGCACCTGGGTGGCTCAATCAGTTAAGCGTCTGACTTCAGCTCAGGTCATGATCTCATGGTTCGTGGGTTT